GTACGGTACAGCAGTACAAAACATTTAGAAGACACAGCATCTTTGGTTAAGGAAAGATCTCTTCTATCAGACTGGTTTTCAAAGCACCAGAGTACCCTTAAATCAGTCTTTCCCTGACTGGCATTCTCCATGGCCACTGTGGCTAGAAGTTCTGTAAGCTGCGGTTCCAGCACAAATGGAGAACAGGCTGGATAAACTTTTCTATAGTTAGGTATTTGGCCTATAAAGTTTATCATACTCATCTGCTGGATAGTAAGACCATGATGCAAGAGAGAAGTCTGTATTCTTCTATGACTGTGAAATTGTTTGCATATATACAGTATGCATAAAAGAGAACTTCAGAAGTTGCTGTGTGGGGCAGTTCAGCAGATTTGTGTTTTTAGAGTGGTGCTTTAAATTAAAATGTGTATAAAATTACATAATGCATTCAAGTTAATTACATTAACATAATTGCATGTTTATAGTTTTAATTTCTTACCAAGTATTTCTCTAAAAAATTATTTTCTTTTCTTCGTTATTGGATTAGACTGTATATGAAGTTAGTTGTAATATGCATTCATCTCTTTGCACTGCTGTTAGTTGCGTCTTGATCTTTTTCCATGCAGAATTAATATTTCTAGAAAGTGGCCATAGGTTGTTCCAAGAATTCCTACAACAGCAAGGATTGGCAAAACAGTATTATCTTTTACTGATAACTTAAATCTAGAACAGATACACAATAATTATTACATTGATAGTTTCTAAATCTACAATGGCAATAACAAGTTTCCTTTCCCTCGGTTGCTACCAGGTTTGCAAAATAGCATCCAGCAAAAGTATTATTACTAGTAAATCTTAGGCATTTCCATTTGCTATTTGAACTATTGCTTACTTTCCATGATGTGCTTGCCATTCACTTCGATAATACAGCTGTTTTTATTTAGTTCGACTTGTGGGTTGCAAATTTTACTGGGTGATACCCATCAACTATCCTTTCATAATAAAATACCTCTTCCCTTGGAACAGAAAATATACTTTTTTCAGTAATTTTGCCTTTTGCAGCAAACTTCTGGAATAGATCTGGAAGTGGGAGCTATAAAGGATGTAGATCACAGAAATTAATCTTCCTTATTCTGCTGGCATATACCTTCCATCAACAAAACAAGACTGGTTAAATCTTATCTAGTATGTTTTCAGTATTTGAGGAATTATGGCATATGATGCATATAATGCATCATTACTTAGAAGCAAGTCCTACTGTAACCAGTAAGACTACTTCCAAGATTTGCACGGTCAGTCTTGTGATGTGCTTCAGTTAGTAGATGGATGGATGGATGGATGGATGGATGGATGGATGGATGCTACACTGAGGGCTATTTACCTTTTTTAAAAATGTACAGGCATACTTTGAAGATATTGCGGATTTGGTTCCAGACTACTGCAGTAAAGCAAATATCGCAATAAAATGACTCACATTAATAGTTTGGTTTCCCTGTGCATATAAAAGTTATGTTTACACTATACTGTAGTCTACTAAGCTTGTCAGAGGGAGATCCAACCTAAGGAGGAATTTCCTAACAGTGAGAACTACTAAGCAGTGGGCAGCTGGCCTCCTAGAGTTGTGGGTGCTCCATCGCTGGAGGTTTTCAAGAAAAGATTGGACAATCATTTGTCCAAGATGATATGAGGACTCCTGCTTTGTCAGGGTCTTGGACTAGAAGACCTCCAAGGTTCCTTCCAATCCTATGATTCTGTGATAAGTGTGCAATAGCATTATGTCTAAAAAAAACATGTACGTACCTTAATTAATTTTTTTCTTAAAATAAGACAATAATGAAGTTTGCTGCAATCCTTTCATGAAAGATTTCTCTGTAGCATGCAGTGCTGTTTGATAAACACAATATCTGTGAAGCACAATAAAATGAGGTATGCCTGTACTTCCTTTTCTGTAGATTTCAAGAGGCTTATAGTATCTATCTAAAACATGCTAATAATGTAATTGGCTTTTAAAACAAATCCCTGTTTATCCCTGACCATCAAACATTTATCTGAATTGTGTTGTATGGACACAAACTAAATTGTGAGGTTGGATGTTTGGCAGTTTTCAAGAAGATACTTGCAGCAACTATACCTTTTTATCTTTGTCAATCCTACCTTGCGCCTTAGAAGATATTATAGAGGCTTGCTGTGGCAAACTCTGTGACACAGAAAAGAAAATGATTTGTCCAGTATGTTGGTTCTAACTATTTAATGACATACAGATCAAAACCAGTGTCTTTGGTTGCATTGTTAAATCCAGTGTATATGAAGAACATAGCTCTTTGGAGACAATGTGATATATAATTATATGATAACTGTAGCTTTCTTATATTCTATATTGGTAAAAAGTTTGGCTCTTTGTCATGAAGAATAAGTTCATAGTTCACACCAAATAGCTTTAGTAGCTAATGTAAAATTACAGTTTTCTACTTTTGATATGGTAAAATCATGAATGACATATGGGCAGGCTAGATTTGACATGGCTTGCAGTCTTCTTCCTACATGAAACAGGCAGAAATAGCTGCTGATTGCTGCCATTACCTCCAGGTGCAGTGCTCCCAGGACTATTTTTTTCACTAGAGGTTGAGTGATCAGGGGATACTGAACCCTATTAGTAATTGGTAAGAAGATCCCTCCAGGTGTGAACCATTACCTCAGTGTTGATGGATTCCATCACCTACTTCAGGCTGAAGCACAACAAAAATGGGCATTATCAAAAATATTGTGAAATCAGTAAACAAGAGAATGAAAGTTAATGCCGTTAGTTTGTTGACCACACTTTAGTCAAAATCTGTATGACTTTATTCAGATGTGATTTGGTTCAACACATCTGAATAAAATTCAGAGAGGAAATGTATATACTGCAGAAGGATTTCTGAAACTTTGGTTGCAAAGCCAGTCATTGTATCAACCAAACAATTTGTGGAATTTCTGGAGCATATAGTGTTAGCAATAGTTTTTATTTTTACTGCGGAAAGATTAGTACATGTTTGATGCTGCAATTTGTTAGTTCCTTATTACAGCTTGTGAAAGCCAGTTGAGATAAACAAGCATCTTTGGTAACTATGGCCATCCTTTAGGATTAAAAGGGCATTGAACACATGCACCCATTATTTCTAATTTCCAATTTCATATTTTTAAGGAGAATTATAAAGTAAGAATACATAAAATCATGTTATTTCTATATCCTTTCCAGTATACTTTGAAACTATGCTTATACAAAAATTATATTT